ACACAGGGAACCCTGGCTGGTTTTTAAATTAAACTGATTAAAGAACACCTAGTAAGGTCAATATTAATGTATCCCCAATTATTATAAAATGGCAACCATTTCTTGATTCTTCCATTGGAGAAGGTGATTGAGGAAAAAGCCCTGAAAGAGGAAGAGTGGATTCCAGTTTTGCAATAATTACTTAAGTGATCCAGCTTACGCTGTTTAACCATTTGGACCTCCGTGCCTGATCTGTAAAATACAGGAGATGAATTGGATGGCATCCTTTCTCAGATCCCTTCCAGTTCCGCAATTGTACATTTATGAAACAAAAGCATCTGGGTGACAGTTTGTACTAGTTGCTTTTTTTCCTCATTAACCCTGGTGATTGTTTTGGCTAAAAATATGGCAATACTTTAATGCAACTTTAGACAGGCAAGTGAATCAGTCCCCTGAAGGTCTAGATTAGAGAATGAACAGCTATTCAGAACCTCAAAAAACAATAATGCTGACGAAAACAGAACAAGCCAGCTTCTTTGGGAGTCAGCAAACATTAGCAGGGGCTGCAGCATTGAGATAAGAACAGAATAATGAGAAAATGAGTTGCAACCAACTTCCTTGACTGCATCCCACGGTCACTCCATGATTCGTCACATCCCTAACGGGGCTTGATAAATGGACTCCAAGTGTTGAGATTTTTTTTTTTTTCTCTTTAGGAGTTACTTGGAAACATGGCTTGGGAAGATGCTTCTACTTTGAGATAAAGAACACAAAATCCTGCAGAGACAGGAAATAAAAACACTAAAAGGACCCAGACTTTCCATAAATCCCAAATCAAGGAGCATCGATCCAGAAAAGATGGAAGATCATGATAGTTAAGTCAACACAAGGGCGACAAAACATGCAAAATAACTAGGTTATAAAGCAAATGAGGTTGTAGATGTCACCATTTATAAGCCATTTACACATGTGAGCCATTTATAACACATATAATGTAGGTATTGTTATCTCCAGAGAAACAAAAAAAGATGCTCAGAGAGGTAAATAATTTGTCTGATGACACACAGCTTGTACTTAGTGGCATAGCTGGGATTTTTGATTTTTAAATATATTTTAAAAATTAATTAACATTTATATTTATCAAAGTAATAACTGTGCATAGCTAACAAATCAAATAGCACTAAAAGGCATATAATGAAATATAGCAGTGTTTTCCATCTTGCTGTCCTTTGTCCTTTGACTGTATTTCCCAATGTTTTCATTTGATTTTTTATTTTGGTCATTATGTTTTTAATTTTCAAAAGCATTTTTTTCTCCATGTTTGTTTCTATTATTATTTTTCAAAACATCCTATTCTTGTTTCATGGACATGATATCTTAGCTCCCTGAGGATAGTAACAATGGTTTGTTTTCTTCCTCTTCCTGAATTTTCTGAATTCAATTTTTTTCTATTTGTTTTGGCCTCTGTTTTGCATACTGGAGGCTTATAAATGTTCTTGATCCTTGTTTGTCTGTGTATAATAGTAAGGCATTAAAAAGCTAAGTGGGAGTTGTGTGGGGGGTGGGTAGGATTGCTAGATAAAATATAATAATTTCAGTTTCAGATCAAAAATGATTTTTAAAAAATTTCCTATTGATACCTAATATTGTTCATATTTGGGGCTACATGTGATATTTTATTACATGCACAGAATGTGTAATAATCAAGTCAGGGTATTTAGGTTATGCCATCACCAGGAATATTCATAATTTCTATATATGTTAGGAATATTTCAAGTCTTCTAACTATCCTAAAATATATAAAAAATAATTTTTAGTGTAAGTATGTCCCAAATATTTCATGGAAAAAAATATATATATACACTAAAAAACATTAATTGTCTATCTGAAATTTAAATTGAACTGGGTCTTCTGTGTTTTCACCTACTAAATCTGACAAGCCTGGGCATGTGGCATATGGACTCCTAGCTTCCAAGTGCTGGGCTATGGGACATGGGCTTTCAATTCAGAGACTGGATCCAGTTAATTTAATCCCTTCTTCGCAGCACTGCATCTCATTCCTACCCTGCACTTCTCATCAATCCAGAGCGCTTCATTTTATTTCTCCAGAAAATAAACCTCTGGCCTTCTAGAGGTGGAGGAAAAGAAATTACCTGGCTATGTTGGCAGAGGACTTTGTGGGCAGTGTTCTGTGGACTAAGTTTCTAGCAATCTCTTTGAGCTTTGAGTGTCTTAAGTTTTGCATGTCCCATCTATTTTTCACGGTAGTGTTTTCTCTAAGCCCCAAGCAAGGTTCTGCAGGGCAGAGGGCTTGCTTTTCAGAGCTGTCCTCTTCTGTAGGTACCACTTTCCATTCCTACTCTGCTAGGTCCATTACCTATTTGGTGGTCCACCTTCCATTGTCCACGAATGTACCGAATCTCTTGTCAGTTGTTGTGTGCCCTCTTTTTCTCCTTGCAGATTTATGTCTTTTTCTTTGAAATTTATTTATTATAGTATCATTTTAATGAAGTCTTAGGAGGGAGAAGACATAGATATTTGGGCTCAATCTACCAGGTTTAACTAGAATGCCAAAGTGAGATTCAAATCCAGGCCAATATAAACTCCAAAATCTTTACTCCTTCTAGGATACCATGTAATAACCCATTTAGCAGAATCCAAAAATAAATACCTGTGGCATAGACCGCCAGTTGTCTCCCCCAGTATCCCCTTTTCCTTTCTTCCTTAGTAACAAGACTCCTGTTTTTTAAAGCTGGTCACATGGCTACCCAGGATAAAGACTTCCTTTTCCAATTTTCCTTGAAGCTAGGTATGGCCAATTGACTAGATTCTGACCAGTAAAATATAAAAGGAGGTGTTAGGTGGCATTTTCCAGCAAACTCTTTTAGAAGACAGCTTGGTTCGCCCTTTTACTACTTTCTTCTTTCTTCTTCCTGCTGGCTTGAAGGTAGACATTATGGCTGGAGCTTGAGCAACTATCTTAGACTAAGAGGTGGAAAGCATATGTTGAAGGTGGCAGCACCTTCAGGGAATCTAGGTCCCCGATGACTTCATATAGCTACTCTACCAACTCCAGATTGCTTATCTCCGGACTTCTTCCATGTGACAGAGAAGTAAGTAAGCCACTGTTTCTTTGGGTTTTCTGTCTCTTACAATTGAACCTTATTTTAACCGATGCAAATGCCATGGTGCAGTAAGATTTCAAAGGGGGTGACACAAGACTTCCTAGAAAAAGTGGCAGAAGAGACAAAGGACAAAAAGACAAAAATCTTAAAGGATGATCATTTCAGCCAGGTGGGGACGTGAAGGGGCAGGATTCCATATAGGAACGACGCTATGATTAGGACACAAGGAAAACTACATAGGGGTTTTCAAAGGGAACTATGTAGACCAGTTTGGTTAAAGTAGACAAATCGCACAGAGAAGAAGTAGAAAATAATAAGGAGAAAAGGTTGGGGGAAGATTATGGAGGGCCTTGAAAGTCAAACCAAGTTTAAAGCTTTCTTTGAAAGCAGTGAAGATACTGAAGGTTTTTGAGATGAATTTGGAGATACAGGTCCACAATGTGAGGGAGGCTTAGAGAAAAAGATGTCATAGTCTTTGGCACACAGGTGATACCATATATAGAGGTAACATAGAAGTGAGGCCAGGGGAGTGAATCTGAGTGGAGAAAGGAGAACATGGTTGGAGATCTCATATGTAGGAGCCAGGAGAAAAGAAACCTACAAAAGACCTAGAAAAGGAGAGAGAAAAGGCAATTGGATGTTGGTGAAGCAAACAGAGTAGAAATGGACATTAAATCAGTAAACCTTCAGATATCTCAAAGACACTAGAAAATATCAGAAATGAGGACAGGGCCAGGCGCGGTGGCTCACGCCTGTAATCCTAGCTCTCTGGGAGGCCGAGGCGGGCGGATTGCTCGAGGTCAGGAGTTCGAAACCAGCCTGAGCAAGAGTGAGACCCCGTCTCTACTATAAATAGAAAGAAATTAATTGGCCAACTAATATATACAAAAAATTAGCCGGGCATGGTGGCACATGCCTGTAGTCCCAGCTACTTGGGAGGCTGAGGCAGGAGGATCCCGTGAGCCCAGGAGTTTGAGGTTGCTGTGAGCTAGGCTGACGCCACGGCACTCACTCTAGCCTGGGCAACAAAGCGAGACTCTGTCTCAAAAAAAAAAAAAAAAAAAAAGAAAAAGAAATGAGGACAGGACAGTACTCAGATGTCTCTGGTGTCCTCTGAGAACAATTCTGATAGAACGTGGAGGTGGACTCTGCTCTTCATGGTGTAAATGGGTGTTAGGAAAATAGAAGTACTAATGTGCTGTTTATTTTAAAAAGTAAAAGCAAGGTAAATTGAAAAGCAATGAAAGATCTCCATGGAATCAAGTGAAATAATTTTTTTAAGGAAGGGGATTTGTTTGGTCTTTAAGATAGGAGGGAATTGTGCAAATTAGTGGAGGAAGAGATTTCCAGGCTGCCAAAGAAGAGGTACCTGATGGAGCAGGTCTCGCTGGGAAAGGGAGGGCTAAAATTTCCAGCTCAGAGAGAGGCCTGACCTTGAGGAAAAAGGAGGACAGCTCTTCCAAGAAAGAGAGATAGAAGAGCAGCAAGGAATCAAGTCTTGAATTTTGAGTTAAACTTTCATCAGTGAATATTTCTCATCATCATCATCCATGCCATTATAGATCTAACCAGAAATAATAGTCTAGAACTGCAATTTTAGCCAGTATCTAAACTAAAAATGGCCATCACTTCGTTTAAGAGTCAAGAATGTCAAACAAGGCTCATAAAACAGAAGATATAAATCTTGTGATTGCAGCCTTGATTCTCTTCACTTCTACACACTGCCTTAATGAACTCCATTTAAATGAAGGATAAACAGCAACAAAAAAGATTAGCTTAGTTACACATTGATATCAATGCTAGAGTAACAGGCAACCCCAATGTAGACCTAAAAATTAATTACAGGATGGAACTTTAGATATCCATTTATCAAATAGATCAAATGCCAATACCTACTCAAAGTACAGCGTGAGGTCCGTTGCCAATATTGACTGCTTCAAAAGCTGCATAAGGTCACTATATTCCTTGGAGGACAAATTAGCAAAGATATTGTGACCCTGTAATGAGAAAGTAAGAAGTCACAAAAGACAACATTAAATTTGTGGTTGTGGATTATATGTTTTTTCTGTATTAAAAAAAAAAAGCCTGGGAACATGATAAAATCATTTTTAAAAAGCTTAAAGAAATTTTGTACAGATACAAACAGATTACTTGGCAAACATAGCAAAGCCAGAATGCACAATCATTTTTGAGAAGGTTTGTTATGTGTTTAGTCTAAAAGGAAAAAACTCCGAAAATGGGACTCTGCCTGACTGCCTGCTTCCTATGGGGTTACTTAGTAGAGAAGTTGGTGAAACATTTGGGAATCTTTCTCACCTTAAAATAAATACTAATTTCCCTAGGTAGCAGAGGTTTAAACTGGCATTTTGGAAATACTTGCTATGGCAACAAATGAATTCAAGGGGGAGAAAAAACCATTAGACCAGTGGTTCTCAACTGGGGGCGATTTTGACAATGGGGACTTTTGGCAACGTCTAGAGACATTTTTGAGTGTCACAACTGGGTAAGGATGCTGCTACCATCCAGTAGTAGAGGCCAGGGATGCTGCTAAACATCTTACGATGCACAGAGGAACCCCCCTCCCGCCCCACACAAAGACTTACCTGGCCCAACATGTCAACATGGCTGAAGTTGAGGAATCCTATATCACACTCTTAAGAAACACTTTGATGAAGTGCGTGGTGGGTTAAATTCAGTACAGTGACTAATTACTGAATAGCTAGGAAGTATAAGACATTATTCTTGGCACTGCGGGACTCTAAAGACGATTCTTACCCAAGAAAATTTGCAATTACACTTTTATCTCCATACCTTTGAAAAGCACCCTTGTTTTCAGCAAAATTTATTTTAGCTCCACTAGGCAGCTCCACATTTGTCTTTAGTAAAGTGAAAAATTCTTCTGTAAAGTGACCAATTCACTTAATTTGTTTTGAAAGTCAGGACTTTTCATTTTTCAGGTTTTCTTAGCATGAAATATGAACTCATTAGTATGTGGCCCAGGAAGTGGACCGGTTTTAAACCCAGTGCTGGGAGCCAGGAGATGGTGGAGAAGGAATGGGGAAGAACGACTGCCTGAGAATAAACTATTCTCCAACAAGAAGTAAATTAATTCTTTCAGGGAACCAGGATATCAATTAGTAAATTATCGCTTACCAGGCACCAGATGATAATCTGCTATCCTGAGTTAATTTATCTCATTGGGTGAACCTGCCACTCCTTAAAGATGAAAGTATATTGGTTCCACCTGGGACCAAGTCCAATATTAATAATAATTTTCAAATGAACTCTTCCAGACCCTTAATTCAGCCATTAAGAAGAAGACAAATAACTAAAGGAATGTCGCACCATAATTCTGCCTGAGCATTGCTCGAGGCTCAATCACAGGCAGGTGTTCAGGGGCCTGGGAAAAAGTGGTCAGAAGCTATGGAAAATTAGTGGATCTAGCCACACACCCAGCATCTCCCAGACAAAGACGGAGAGCCTTCAGGAGCAAGTTACAGTAAGTTAACATTGAGCCAGGGAGAGAGCTGGTCTGAACTTGAGGATCCTGATTATTTTGTGTTATGTGTATGTTATTACAGTCATGCATCATGTAATGGGGGGGATACTTTCTGAGAAATGTGTCGTTTGGTGATTTCACCATTGTGCAAATATGGCAGAGTGTACTTATGAAATCCTACACATTATAGCCTACTGCACGCCTAGGTGATATGGCACGGCCTATTGCTCCTAGGCTACAAACTTGTAAGCATGTTACTGTACTGAATACGGTAGGCAACTGTAACACAGTGAGAAGAATTTGCATATCTAAACATAGAAAAGGTATGGTTAAAAAATATGGTATTATAATCTTATGGGCCCACTCTCATATATGTGGTCTGTCTGTGACTGAAACATTATGTGGCCCGAGACTGTACTCTTAAAGGACATACAGTACCTAACACCATTTACAGCTGAAAGAGTGACAAAGCTAGCCAGATCAGCTTTAATTTTTAAAAAAGGTAATTTGCAATGAGTGTATTGTTTATATGCAAATTGGCCTTCCACAGTGCCTCGAGGGTTTGGTCCCTGAAGTAGTTTAGAGACTTCCTAAAAAACTGCTTCTACTCTTTGTCTAGGGAGGCGGTGAGTGTGGTACTGATGGTAAGAAATGCAGATGTGCAAGGAGAAACGTCTGGGGTAAACTTCCTAAAGCCATATAACCTCCCTGCACATGTGCGCATTTGGAAATGGGACAGTAACGGCACCTGCATTGCTGCCTTCGTGACGGGCAGGACCGTGGGGGCCTGGGGCAGTGCCAGGCAGCCCCGGCACGTAGCAGGTGCTCAGTGCACTGTTCCCTCTGTATTAGTCTCCGATCTTCACAGGGAAGCCCAGAGTGAAGGGCGGCCAACGTGTCTCGTTTGTATGAACGCGAATTCCGAGTGAGTGGGGTTTGTTTCCCCGAGGAAACTTGACATCCTGTTTATAATCCGTGTTATTACAAAGGTGGGGCTTTCTGGGGGCAGAGGTGTAAACATACCACACTTACCAGTATAGAAAAAATAGTCTGAACCAAATTTCCTTTATCCCCATTGAGTGCTATGGAAGCACTCAGCTACAATATGGCTCTTGTAGGAAAATTCCAGAGCCACAGATGCCAGCATGCTGGCTTCTGTCAGTTACTGAAAGCCTAACCCTTGGTGTTTCAGTCCCAGCTGAAAACACATCACTCCCAGCGGGTTTGCCCTTCCCCGGCCTGCATCCGGGTTCCACAGTGTCGACTCTCCTTTATGGGGTCGGGGGCCTTCAGTGAAACTGCAAAAGGCGTGCTTTCTCAAGATGAGCTGGAGGAAAAAAACCTCCATATTTAATGATGCTATTCCAGCGAAGCAGGGCCTTAATGATGATAATAATAATAATTAATGGCACAGCTAGAGAACTGACAAATAATGGGGAACAGATGATCCCTTCCTGGCCTCAAAAAAAAAAAAAAAAAAAGTCTGTACGCCTGCAGAAAATTAAACAGATCCTTTCCTGGCAATTTAAAACTCAGACGCCTCAGCCAGAGTTGGTTAGTGGTTTCTGTTTTTCTCTGTGGAGAGCTAAAAGTATAAAATTCCAACTACTTCTAACTCCTGCATTGCCACATGAAGCAAAATAAGGCATATGGCATTAGCCCTGGGTCTTAAGTTTAGTTGCAGTTCTCACTTTCAAACTGGTCCCACCAGCAATTTTAAGTTCTTTTATGTTTTATAGGTTTCTCGATGGTGCTAATAAAGTGTAACTTTCTCACCCTGTTTTTGTTTCTACCATCTTTCGAAATGACTTTGGGTTTCACAAAATGGGAATGTTGGGCCACTCACTACTTGAATCAAGTCACACCCTTAGTGGGCTTCTATGTCCCTCAAGGAAAGTAAGATCGTGTTCTGGGGATAAGCAGTCTATTCCTGTCACCCCATTAAGTGAATTTGAAAAGCCTGCTAGCCAATAACGAAACCCAAATGAATCAGCCCAGGAAGAATCTGAACAAGGTCCTTGGTCAGGCATCTAAAAGAATCCAAAAAAGCCAGCAAGTCCCAGTAGTTTGACTTAAAAATGGTTTTCCCATATCTCTGTGTCTGCCTGTGACACCATAAAGAAGGAGAGGTAGGAAACAAATAGTTGTTTCCTTTCTATGTCAAGGAGAGAAATAGAACATCAGGTCTGTACCTCACTCTGCAGGATCATCACGGCGTGGTTAAAATGATGATGCTCCAAGGTAGCAGAGGTTCCATAGAGTTGGGCCAGGGCAGAGCCGCTCCTGAAAGAGGACAGAGAGGGAGTGAGCAGGGCCCTGGCCCCTGTCGACCGTTCCTCCACACCAGCTCTTTGGATCAAAGTGCTTTTCCTGCTTTTGGCAAAGGACCACAAGCAGATGCATTATCAGGTACCTGCTTTTGCAGTTCTTTCATCTATTAAGCAAGCCTTTCTGTAAGTTTCTATGTGTTAGGCTAGATGCTGTGGATGACACACGATGAATAAAACACAGTCCCTACCCCTAAGAAATTTACAGACTAGTAAGAGAGATGAGATGAGAGAATGGACATAAAAACAATATGAATACTAAGACACTGTAGAAAAGTGTCCCAGGTCCAACCAAAGTGCTGTGGATACTCTGAGAACAACGAAGACAGGATTGCTGGCCATGGGGATCAGGGGAGACTTCGTGGACTAAACTTTGTACAATCTCTGAGTGTCCAGAAAATAATTGTCTTATATTAATACCAAATGTATTTGACTTTGTATAGGAAAAGACCATGTCAATAGTCCAGAGTCCATTTTATCTACTTTACATGTCAAGTTGACAACCTTCTACTATGGTTTCCCAGTCCACAGTCACACTGTGATATCTCAGTGTAGAACTCTGGAAATTTCCCTGGATTTAGAGTCAAATTTCAGCTCTTCCTCCACATAGCAGCTTTGGACAGTTACTTGGCCTCTTTAAGACTCAGTTTCTTTGTCTCTAAGATTATATACTGTTTATCTAACCTGCTATTTATGAGAACAATAAAATATTTTAAAGTGCTTATCACAATGCCTGGCATATAGTAGATTGTAATCTATAGTAATTAGTAATCAACAATTAAAACATGTATGGATATTTTCATTTTAAATTAATAAGATGTTAATTGATGCTTGAAGGGATTACTTCAAGTTATCTGTAAATTTCATATATGTAGAGCAACCCATTCCTCAACAGTGTCAGATTGGAAAAGTATTCATTCAAAATGGTCATATATGTTCATTTCAAAAGTGTTTTTAGGAATAGGAGTTAGAACATATTAAGAATCAAGACAGGCTGGATGTGGTGGCTCACGCCTGTAATCCTAGTACTCTGGGAGGCCGAGGCAGGCGGATTGCTCGAGATCAGGAGTTTGAAACCAGCCTGAGCAAGAGGGAGACCCTGTCTCTACTATAAATAGAAATAAATTAATTGGCCAACTAAAAATATATAGAAAAAATTAGCCGGGCATGGTGGCACATGCCTGTAGTCCCAGCTACTCGGGAGGCTGAGGCAGCAGGATTGCTTGAGCCCAGGAGTCTGAGGTTGCTGTGAGCTAGGCTGACGCCACGGCACTCACTCTAGCCTGGACAACAAAGCGAGACTCTGTCTCAAAAAAAAAAAAAAAAAAAAAGAATCAAGACAGATCCCAGAGAGTCCCATGGTTTAAAGGGTAGTCATGGGACTTGGGCTGAAAATCCACCCACATCCTTGTGTGCTGCAGACACTGAAAGGGCAATTTGGCCTTAACTTGGAGTTGCTGGTGATTGACAGCCCACAGTCTGCCCTGCTAGTGAGAGGAGTAAAGACTGCATCTAAGTGCAACATGAAGGATTTCAGTTATAAGCTGCCCCTGTGTGCCTCCAGTGTGAGGCAGCCCAAGATCGCGGTCAGTTTGGGCGTACAGGGATCTGAAATCTTTAGAAAGACTCAGAGATGACCACATGTTGGGAGAAACAGCAGGGTTAGGTTCAGTAGGAATTGTTATCAAGAGCCTTAGTAAAGAGGGTGCTAGATTTTAATCAGGTATGTGTTATTTCTTTAAATCCTGCTGCCTCTATCATTTAATAAGTAAAAATTTGTTAGGCTAATCTTAGTAATCAATGGTAAATTAATATTTAATGTTAGTTACTATTTGTCTTACATGGAGTTCATTTCTATGAAGATATATGTTTCAAAATGCACACTATTTGCCTTTGTCTTGGCTGTTGAAATTCTAGGGCATATCACATCTAAATGTTTGGCATGGAGTAGGTACTTAAAAAATATTAGTTCCTTGTCTAATGAGCTTACAATAGTATGTCTAGAGACTATAGTTCAAATTGGGAGGTTAACGATAAGTGTGTTAGCATATTTTATAATACTAATGTTATTAATAATTATAGTTACCATTTGTAAATGCCTTGATGCACTAGGCAATATATTAACAACTTAATATTTCATTTAGTCCTGACAAAAATCACGAAATAGGTATTATTTTCTCATTTTGCACACGAGGAAACCAAGGCTCAGAGAAGATAGGTAACTTTTCCAAGGTCACACAGCTAGCTAGTGCCGGTCCTAGATTTGAATCCAAGTTTTTAAGCTTCTTATTGCTCAATGAGAATAATTATAAATACATTTCTGATATTTGATTCTCCATTTTTACCAAGCTGGTTGTCATCAATGAAAGAAGATTTCAAAATTTAATTCAGAATTCTACTACTATACCTGTTAACCATAGGCTCAGATTCCTGTGATTTGGTTCTATGAGCCAGCCATGCTCAGATGCGCCTCACTTACTAGTGTGAGTCTTGATGACAAGACTCGTTGCTGCAAGGTAGGGTCTAGATGCAGAATGTTCTCTCTTCCTTTATTCATGTTGGTTTAATGGAACCCACAAAAGTTAAACCAGCTAGATGATCACAAGTCACTTCATATTTTCTTTGGGGTGAATAAGGAGATGCTTCCTCCTTTAACCAGGGGATACCTTATAACGAGGACTCTGATACTGCCTGGGCTGCACTGCTCTCCCCCACAAGTCCATGTGGCTTCTGACCTGCTGTGTTTTACCTCATGGTATGCGTGCAAGGGCAGCCATGTGACTGCCCACAGTCTGAGCATCTTCCTCGTCAGATTCCCTGTCTGTTCCTTTCTGTAATTCCATCCTGCATTCTGCCTCCCCTCACACAATACTGATTCAATCACAGAAAATATGTAGATGTTGCAACTGAATCAGACCAATGCTATGAAAGTGCAGGAAGACATTGTGATTCATTCATTCATTCATCTATCACTCATTCAACCAACAAGCATTGATGACTATTATTATACCAGGCTTTAGTACAAAGATAAATGTGGAGTACAAAGATAAATGACATGATCTCACCTTCAGGAAGCCCACAGTCCTCTATAATTGTGTCAGGGATTTTCTCTGATCAGTCTGGCACTAATGCTCACTTTTCTGCAAGCGAGGTACCATCTTAGCATTCAGAGAATGGATCATGGTATTAAGTTTGAATTGTTTAGAATAAAATCATCTAAGCAAGAGCACTTCTATTTCCATATGGATCCCTTATTTACACTCTAGATTTGGTTCCTCTCAGATTTTCTAGACTGCCAAACCTCTTAGTGCCTTTTCTCTCAGGCTTGGGCTCACAGAGAAAGTTGTCTATGCCTGCCATTGCACGCTGTGAACTTCCTAGGACCACCACGAGACAAGTCCACAGTCAGAAAACTTGGTATAAGTGGCAAAAAATAAAACATATGTGTTAGAATAAGCTTTACCAAAAAGTATTTTACAGAATACTAGTTCTTTACAGTGTTAAACAGTATTAGGGAAGAAATAAAAAGGGTTCCGCAGTCAAATAAGTTTGGGAAGTGCTACCTTTAAAAAGTTAGGCTGTTTCTTTATTGTAAGACTTCCCAGAGGTGTCAATATGTGAAAATACACATTGTGATTCCGCTGAAGGAGAACATAATATGCATAATAATCTTAATTAATCATAAAAACATTTTTTAAAAGGGCCATGTTTTTCACATAATATATGTTATGTAAAAGTATACTTCCACTTTTTCAGGTAAAATATGAAAAAAGATCCCCAAATCAATTATATATGGAAAAAATTGACTTTAATACCGTGCTTCATTTTAATTGTCTAGGGTAAGTATATCCACCATATAAGTAGTAGTGAAAATATGATTACATATATACAGGGTGTGTGGAAAGAGAGGGGGAGAGTGGGAGAGAGGAAGGAAATCCAAATCCATAAGCACAAGTACATTTACATATGTGAATATTCATGATGTGCATTATGGATTAGGTCATCTTTACATACTAAAGTTTTTCATTGGAGACAAGCAGCACAATGAGGAGAAACTTATCAAAAAGAAAAGTCCGAATGAAAATTCCCTCCAGGCATTTGGCACTTTGCACAGGCACCAAAAATAAGTGTGCTAATGGAAATGTACCTTTAAAATGTCCCTAGATGATGCATATTCTTTGAAAAAGAGACTGAATGGCAGTGTGCAGCCATGACTTAGAGGAAACTTTAAAAAGGAAAACTATGAAAGGTAATTAGGAAATTGAGAATTGTTGGGAGGTGGTGAGGAGTGGGATTAGGCTGTCATGGCAGATTAATGTGCCCCAGTATTTCACTTCTGGGACCTGGCCGAAAGCGACAAGATGGGTTTTCATTCTCAAGAAATGAGCATAAGAGATTATGCTAGAAATGAATAGAAGAAGTCTCCTAGGAGAATATACTACAAAGCTGCTCGGTACTGATATTTAATCATCAGGAGCAGCTGTAATAGAGAGGAGGATGGGTGGGGAGCGCTGTCCCCGGAGAGGACTGGGAGAGCTATGAACACAGCCATTTCATGGCACTGTGGTATTGCAGCTCTCTCTACCTATTGATCATTCGTTGCACGCACTCCAATAGTTAAAAATTAAGAACAAAATATGAAAATGCAAAGGTTCACTTATCAGAAAGGCTAAGAGAATAAATCAAATTGTGCTCTAACTAAAGTCACACTTTTTATTGTAGAGGCATTTTGCATTTTATATAGTAATTTGTCCCTTGCTAAATGTCTTCTGTTTTTTTATAGCCTTATGTATGAAAAAAAAGGTAGCATATGCTTTGCCACATAATAATTGGTGTATTTAAATCCCGTTTTCAAATGGCTCGAAAGGCTAGAATTAGACTGTGAACAGTTTAAGAGAAGGGACTGTTTGCTATACTTCATTTCTCCCACAATGCCTAGCACAGTGTCATGGACGTAGAAAGCCCTCAATTAATTGGGAAATAAAGAGGTAGAAAAGAATACAGGTTTCTTCCAAGGGATTTTCTAAACAATGGCACACTCACTGAATAAATTTCATCTAATCAATAAAAAGGTAGTTCTTTTACCATGATGTAAAAAAAGTCTTTTTCAGCATTCATTCTCAAAGAAAATTTTCACTGAGGGTGGGTAGTCCTAAGTTTAAAAATGATTCTCTTAGGTAAGTGCAAGGCTGACAGAAATCCCATGAACTAGTAAATTTCGTACAAAGTTAATAGTCTTGAGAAAACACATCACATCATCTTGGAATAGGCAGATTTGATCATGTGACATGGGGATGCAAAAAATAATTGAAATCTAGGATCAGTGACTCAAGACCTACCTAACATATGTGAAAGCTGCTCAGTCTTATATAAGCAACTTGAGATTTGGGGGCCTCAGTTTCTATCTTTGTAAAGTCAAGGCATTGGAAAATATGACCACTAAGGTTTAGTTCAGTTTTATAATTTTTATGGCTCCATGTCTTAAATGATTGGATGCCAGAATCTAGTTTTCCAGAGCTCACGTGTCTGGCAAGTCAGCAAATGAACTGGAAGCTCAAAGGCCCACAATATTAATCGATGTCACAAAGTCATGGAAGAGAGTAACAGTGGTTGAAGAATGGCTCTTGGAATCAGCTGACACACGTCCAGCCTCCACTCTACCACACAGATGAATTGGGGCAAGTTTCTTGCCTTCCTGAGGTTCAGTTCCTCCTGTAAAGTAGAGTCAAAAATATCTACCCTACAGAGATGGTGGTGAGGGCTTGAGACATAGTAAAAAACAAATAAATTGTAGTTCTTCTCATTGTCCCAGGGACTGTTAATTGCAAAGAAAAGAGACGAAGTACAACCAGCTTCACTAGGAAGAAGGTTGATTAAATGTTACCAGGAACTCTGAGGAAGCCCAATTATCAGATACCTAGAAATAGGAGCGGAGATGAGGAGAGCCGGGGATCAAGTCTCTCCTTTCTACTTCTCTCTGAATATCAGCTTCATTCTTCTGTCCTCTCTGTAGACTGGCTTTCTTATTTCTTTCATCCACTTGGAATGTGGCTCTTATAGCTTTCCCAAAATGGCAGCCTCAGCTCCCTGCAGCTTGGATCCCTGCGGCTAACTGACTCAACAGCATGGCAATCCAACTCCAAATTCCTGGGAGATGAAATCTGATTGGCCCAGCTTTGTTTGGGTGTGTAGTCTTGGTTCAAACAGCTGAGGGGTCAAGTAGCAAGAAGAGCTGATTCTTTCAGCATGATGCCCTGGCTCTCTCTCTGTGGCGGGGCCATATACAGGTACTGTGCACTTCACTCTTAAAGGAACCCACAAGGTGCTCACTCTTTTTTTATAGACACAATTCTGACACATTTATCTCTTCTTTATGGAAGAATGTGTGGGGGGTGCTGGAGAGTGGGTGCTAGAGGGAAATACAATGACAATGATACCATTGGCCTAAGGGAGAGAGGAATCCTTAAAAAAAATAATGAAATGCAGACATAAGAACTCAAAATAAGGAAATGTCAGACATGGAATGAAAGTATACACAGCATATACTTCAGTGGTACAGTATCAAACCTATGTGTATAAAAACTACATTTTATAATAATCTACAACAGGTTATATGTGTTAAAGAAATCAGGAAACCTTAGGGAAAAGCCATATTATAATCAGATAATTAAAATCTCATCCATTCATGCAGTTGCCAATTCATTTCTTCATTCAGCAAACATTTATTGGTTGTCATGCTCCTGGCACTGTTTGCCCACTGTTGCAGGCACCAAAGAAGGGAGACACCCTTGCAAGTGAGCAGTGAAGGCAGAGTGTGAAGCACACTGTGGAAAGGGCATGGCCAGGGCGTCTTGTGGGCATAGAAAATTGACCCTGGGAGCATGTATCAGTCTGGGGAAGGAAGGAGAGGAAAGGCATTCCAGGCAGGGGGGACAGCGGGGACCCGACCCGGTGCATCCCGTGGCCCTCGTGTCTGGAATGTAGACGCATGAGGAGGTGGGGTGGGGCGAGTGGGTGCCCCACCTGAGAAATTGGCAAGGAGCCTGAATGAAAAGGGCCTTAAGGAGCTCAACTAAGGAATTTGACCCTTATTCTAAAAGTTGTAGGGGGTGTCGATGGCTTTTAAGCAGGGAAATGACCTGGCCAGCTTTGTGAATTAGATTATTCTGGGGCGCCAAGCCGACCGGAGGAGGAGCGCTGGGCCGTTTGCGGTGGCAGTCCGGGAGAGCCATGAGCAGGGGGTGCCTGTAAGAATGGGGAGGAGGGCAGATTCCGGTGGTGCCACGCCCTGCGTTAGAGGAGGGAGAGAGGGACATGCCTGAAGGGAAAGACTGAGATTGAGGTGACCACAGGACTTTGAATAGGAGGGGGCGTAAGTGGCTAGGGATAAGCTGAGAATCTGGCTCAGAGAAATGGCGGGGTGGCGGGGATCAGCAGCAGATGGGTGGAGGCCCGGCACGGAGGATCATGAAGAGCAGGAGCAGGAGAGGACGGGGAGAGCACATCACCGGGGCATGCAGGGCAGGGAAGAGAAGAAGCCTGAAGCAAACTGAGAGAAAAGCTTTCTTCTCAGGTAGAGGAAAGTCTTTCATCGTTGAAACAAAGGAAGAAAGAAAAGAGTTCCAGGACGGAGGGAGTGAAAAAATATGTCTCTTGGCAAGAAGGATCAAGAAAGGACATAAAAGGGTCCAACAGTTTTGGGAAAGGGGGCCGTTGGTGACCTACTGAGGGCATCGTCTCTGGGGAGGTGGAACCGGAAGCCATGTGGGCATGCAGGGCTAGGGAGGTAAGGACAATGAACCCCACAGCTTTCCAGAAGCTTGACTGGGAGGGAAAGAAGAGAAATAGAACCAAAGCTACGGAGAGAAGTGGGGATCAGGGCAGGTTTTGTTTTATTTTATTTTTTCATGATGAGGGAGAAGTGTTTATATTAATAGGACACAGAGAGCCGGCAGAGAGAGGGAGCAGATAGGGCAGAGGGGAAGATTGATGGCCCGAGGTCCCGGAGGAGAAGCAGGGAGTGGCCCCACAGAGGTGGAGGGACGGCCTCAGACAAGGGAAGGACAGTCCTTTCACTGAGATAGGAGGGACGGAGGGAAGGATGGGGATGGGGAGATAAGTTGGTAGGTGGCAGGGGAGGAAATTGAGAGACTCCTCGATTGATGGCCTCAATTTTCTCGGCAAAGTAGGAGGCAAGGTGATCTGCTGAGTGGTGCGGGGGAGGTAGCGGAGCAGGAGGTGGTTTTGGAGGAGAGAAGTTTGGTGTGTGAAACCGCCAAGAGCAATGGGGCATGGAGCTAGCTAGGGACACAGAAGGATTGGTGGGGAGTACTGGGCACCCTGCTGCGTTGGGAGAATATATGAATATAGTTGGCATGCCTCAAACTCTCACCGCTGTGACATTTTCTCCCAAAGCCGTTACAAGTCTAGGCAGAGTAGCAAGAAACTGAATTGTTAGACTGTATGTACCAGGACTGAGTATTTGAAGAGTGGATGTCACAGAAACTGAAAAGGGTCAAGAAATTATAGGATATTCAGAAGGGAGGGTTGAAGTGATGGGCTATAGGACACAGGATAGAAGAGAAGGACACAAAATCAAAGTTCATCTGCTAGATCCGGCGCAAATGCAAGGGCCCAGGACTGCAAGGCCTCAGTGAGTAGGTCTGTGGGGAACAAAAAGAGCCGTGAGCTGAAAGAAACCTGTTGCCACAGAGGAGGCTGTTGAAGCTTCAGACAATAGAGGTCAACTTGTTCTGGGGGCTTTGCAATCAGTCATCAGAAAGTACCTTTTTGTCAAAGCCTCCCCTAACCTCTCCAGCCCCAAACTTTTCTCTCCAGCCTCCGAACTCCTGTATCATTTTGTTTGTAGACAGATAGTGAAAAGAACATCAAAATTGGACCCTCAATGTAAGAGTCAGGAGGCCTGGGTTTTGATCTTATTTTCAGCACCCATAAGTTCTGTAGTTTTGGCCACAGAGTGAGCCACCAAACAACAGCTACCTTGACCACTCCAACTTGCTTAGGGACAGATTATTCTATCTATACACATTATGTGCATGGCAACTAGTTGCCTACACATCACTGTATTTATGTGATTCTTTTGTTTGTTTTCCACTTTCTGTAGGAGCAGGGGTGAGCAAAGACTATACTCCTCGTATGTAGCTTTTCTTCACTGCAGTAAACTGTAGTGAACTTTACCCACCATCAAAAGAATCCTGGAACAGATTCTATTGGAGAAGAAAAAAGATATTTTGCTTCATAAAATTTCCTAAGACTGCTCATATTTTAAGAGTCTCAAATCAGATTTTGAGAGTAGCAGGTCCAAGAAGCTTATCATGCCATAAAAGCAAATATTCTGGGAGGAAAAATGTAGGCCCTTTAAGATCTGAGCTTTGTTATCTGAGTGAGGTCAGCAGAGACAGACCAAATCAACAAGCATGACATGAAGGGCAAATTTGCAATTAAAAGAAGAATAGGGAATTATAAAGATGGATGGGCCTTGTGACATGCACGCCCAAGCCTGCGTGGCCTTGGCCCCGGATGCCAGAAATTAATGCTTTACTCTTTAGCATTTGTCACCTTTGGCTCTGAGCAGAAAGGCAAATGCATTAAAATAACAACAATTAGAACACTTACTTAGCTTGGAAGGCATTGTTGGTTCCCCTGTGGTCGAGGTCATGACACAGGCATCCCACAATCACTGCTAAAATTTCCACCTCGGTCAGAATCTCTTGAAACCCAGCGGTCTGGGGAGAGGGGGAAAATGGCAACAGTCACTGCTGGGGCACGGAGGATGGATAAGGTTAGTGTGCTGAGCAACAATCAGCCCTGTTTTCATATCCACATCATTTAAGGAGATGATTAACTGCCGCCCCCTCAGACGACAGTGAGTTGGGTGGTCAGTTGTACAGCCTAAGGTCCCCACAGTGATGAATTAGCTCGCTGTCACAGCAGCCCACGCTGCCACACTGGGACAAAGTTCGGACTATTTTGTTCCCTTTTTAGAGAGGAGGCTGTACTATCCAGATATAGTGACAGTTTGGCAAAGGCCCAGAGCAAGATGCGCTTTGTTATTCCACATTTTAATGATGAGCGTGGGGCTTGGTGGTCGGGGCATAGAAGGCGGCTGTGAATTTCCAACTGAGCGCGACATCCACTGGGTGCCACTCAGGTGAGAGCAGGAAAAAGGCAAAAAACAACATTTTTTTTTTAAAACACTAAAAGGAACAACTCCGTTGTACCAGATTGTTGCACCATGACATTCTAGAAGTTAATCTTGTAAATACCTTAATTCATGTTAGGTTAGTGGGAAGATTAAATTCACACAAATAAGAAGGCAGCACATGTCTTGGGAACTAGAATTTGGCAGATTAGGCAACCCAGATTGAGGATCGAGTGGAGGAACCATGACTTGGAATTCTTTTTTTCTTACCCCGTGTTAGCTTGCTTGTGAAATGCAGAGCTGTGATGTGATTTCTTTTGGAAGCAGTTTGATATAATTCTGCGACCAAGAGCAGCACTGCTTCTTTGGTTCCTGCTGGCCCTTTCATTAGTTTAGAAGAGGAAGTGTACCTCTGGGACAGCAGGTCTATGCATTTTCTTGATCCAATGCTTTTGTATTCCCCCTTTTACTTTGTAAGTCTCCTATTTCATTACTTATTAAAATCTTTATCAGAGGGTAGGAGGAGGGGAGAGTCAGGGTTCATATTGCCTTACTTTTCATGTGTGTTTTCTCCCCCAAATCTAGATCACTGCCTAATACCTATAAGGGACTTCTCTTAGAGCAATGAAAACTTCGTTTTTAAATTAAGTGCATTTTCCCCCAGAAATAATTGAATAATAGGTTCTCATGTTGACAGTTTTATTTTAAAAAATTGACTCGAGTCCACTGCTACATGAGAAACACATAGAACTTCATTTGCATAGCAAATGGACATGTGAATAAACTGGAAGTATGAAATAGTCCATGTCAAAGCTTGTGTGTGCCCTTCATTTTAAAATTGGCAATTGGCTGTTGGCTTTTCTAAGTTAACTTTATTTTACTTAAAGTATTACCTGTAATAGTTAAAAAGAATTCAAATTATACTAAGAGATTTAGAAGCAAAAACCCAGTAGTCCCTCATCCTTCCCCTTACCTGATTCCCAAAGGCAACCATTTTCTATTTTCTTTTTTACTTAAATTGGTAGGTTTCCCCCCACAATTCTATGCAGCATGCACATACTAGCACTTGATTATTCACCAAGTACTCATATCATCCTTCCTATGTACCAATACATTGTCCTAAGAGCTTTACTACTGTTGAGCTGAATTCTCCTAGTGGTCCTGTTAAGTAGGAACTGTTATTATCCCCAGTTATAGATGAGGAAACTGAGAGGCTAAGACTCAGGCATCCTCAAGCTACAGCCTGCGGGCCACATGCCACCTGCCTAGGATATTTATCCGGGCCAGCCGGTGTTTTTGATGCCACTGCCTGTCCTGCTTAGCAGCCGACTTGTCCTGGGCCCACAGTGCACATTCTCCAACGGTCTGAGGGACAGTGAACTGGCCCCTTGTTTAAAAAGTTTGAGGACCCCCACTAAGTCATATGCTGAAGGGCTCACAGCTAGTACAAGGCAGACAGGGGCAACCTTCCACTTTCACCAGAATCTGCCCTCAACACCGATGATGTCTAGCGGCAGGTGAGAGTTTATGTTCACCTACACCCTCCGCTCACACTCCCGGTGTGATCCATGCACAGAGCTTTCCTGATACACCCTCTAAATACTATTCGCTGCTGAGCCGACCAGTACACAGCGATTGTTTCCTTTCGTATGTACAGTTTATCATTTCTTGGAGTTAGGATTTCTTTGAAAAGTCTAAGTCTTCTCACAGTCTGCACAACTCTGTAAAATGCCTCTCAAAACAATGTTGAAGAGAGTCCAAACTTCACAGCTTGCATTTAGATCCTCGTATCCTGGGCACCTCCTCCTGCAGCCTGACCCTGCTCGTTGGTCCAGATTCTCTGTCTCCCTCCCCGTCATTCAGGGGGCTCCTCTCTCCTCTCCAGGGTTGACCTCTGATCTCCTGCGCCCTGTGCCTTGGTGTGCATTTTTTTTTTAACACTGGGGGAGTTCATTGTTTTTGAGGCTTTGCATGACTGAAAAAAAAATCTTGTCTTTTTTTTTTCTTTTTTTTTGCAGAGGGTTGAATCTTATTGTAGTCTTATACTCAATTGTTAACTTGCCTAACAATTCTAGTTTGAAACATTTTCACTCAGAATTTTGAAGGAGTGTTCTATTGTTTTCTAGCTTCCAAAGTTGCTTTTGAGAAGAATGTATCATTCTTATTCCTAATACTTTGAATGTTACTTAATTTTCTTTCTTCTAGAATCTCCTCTGTATCCCTTGTGTTCAACAATTTCAAAAAGATATGCTTGGGTTTGGAATTTTTTTTTTCATTCAATTTGCATGGTAAACCTAATCTGGAGGTTCAACTTCTTCAGTACACATTCTTTTAATTTTTTAAAAATAATTTTCTCTTCAGTATTTTTTCTGTCCTATTTTAATGGGACTCCAATTGGTTGGATACTGTACTTCTTGTATTGATTTTATCTCTTCTTCCCATTTCCCATATAGAATTTTCCTCTTACTTTCTGAGAGTGAGAAATATTTAGTTTTATAAGCATTTCTTTGTTTGCTACTCCTTTTCTAATAGCATGCTATTCTTCTCCCAAGGATACATTATCTTTTCTTATCTTTCTGAAGATGCTAATTATAATCCTTCTGAAATTTTCTTCTGTTCCTTGAATTGCCTGTTTCCTCTGAACTTCTTTTCTCTGTGTTTGGTGGTTTCCCTAAGTGTCTGATAATCTTTGGTAGCCTATTCAAATTTGAGAGTGAAGCAGTACAAAGCTCACCATGCACCAGTGCTTGTGGGTGGTGCCTGCAGATAGATGGCAGGGCCTTACCCTGAGTGACTGGGTGGCCGGTGAGTCTCTGCTGGGGATCCCCAAATGTAAGGATCTACACTCATTTTCCCTGGACTTTCCAATCTTTGCATGGGAATGGTGTAAACACGTGTGTTGCCATCCTAAGAGAACTGTAGCTTCCCAACTGTCAGGATGTAGGCTTTCACTTAATCCTCCTATTTTCAGAGTGCACCCCACCCTAACTTTACTTTTGTTGGTCTTGCCAAGTCAGTGGTTCAATTTCTCCAGCAAATAATTCTGGTTACTGCAGAGATGGGCTAAGAGTAACCCTCTGACTACGTGGAGAGGGAGTGGAGACTTGGGCACACACTGTTTTAATCACTTCCTCCTTCCACCTCACCCCGTATTGGTGGTATCTGAGGCCTCTAGTTCCTGAGCCTTGATAAGTTCTGGGGGGCATTGCTTCCCATGTGTACCCCCCCACCCCTCCCCCTGACAGCACTTGGGTTGGACCTTGCTTTTCTCTCCTATGTTGCGAACAATCTTCCCACTCTTTTCTGCCTTCATATGTTATGGGTCCATGAAAGGCAGAATTGTGCCCCGTTCTTGTTCTCCTTGTTATTTTGGGGTGATTTTTGAAAGAAGAGGGTATAAATGTCTTTTTCTGTCATCTCTATCATTTTGGAAGTGTTAAGTCAGCTTATTGGGCTTGCTCTTGCTAATACTAAGTAAATCTTGAGAAAGTCTATCGAGTATGAAATCATTGTCTGTGATACTGTGGAAATAAGTGTTGTAAACAACAATGGCACTGAGCTGAAATTTAGAGAGATTTTGCCCATGACAATGCTACTGACTAGAACTGAGTGATGAATGAGAACAGTGAGAAGAGGGATAATGTTAAAAGAAGGTAATTTGATGAAAAATTTAATTATTAATAGAAGTTAAAACCAAATACCATCTAATAGGTTCAAGATCAAAATTGTAAGCCCTTAGTTATCACCCATTATATAATCGGATAGAACAGATTTTGCTTATATTTTTTACATAGCCACCTTTCCTCCACCCCTGGAAATTCAGCATCTGGCTCTTAAACTATTTGCATTATGGATACTTTTGAGAATTTGATGGAAGCCACGGACTCTCTTCCTCAAAGTTTTTTTATAATCTTATGATATTTAAAGACCATGGAGCCCAACTCTAGGACCTCAGAGTAAAGAATCCCTGAAATAAAGCAGACATGCACAGTCGCACAAAACACATCTACCTCCCTCGACTGTGATACCTGCGTTACTGAAGCAGCACCTATCTCTTGACTGTGATTTAAAGCTGCCTGGTAAATGGTTTCTGAAAGTCATCAGGCCTGAAAAATGCCCACCTGCCACTAAGTGTCCTTTTGCCCGTCCCCCACCCTCATCCATCTTCCTTCCAGTCCCAGCCACTCAGACCTGCGCTTACCCGTGTCGAGCAGAAAGAGTCGACCACCTGCTGAAGACGATACACTCTCAAGAGCAAACAGAGAGGCAGCAGGAAGTATATTTTAATTCATTTCTTCCATATTTGACTATATTCTTTTATTTTCAAATAAAATTATGTCTTTTCTGTTCTTGACCTACTAGTCATGGGTTTTATTGACCTTCATGTTAATATATCTTGTCACCTGTATTTTCTCATGGTTTATATCAGAACTGTAAGCAGTGGATGCAATATATCTAAGCAAAGAGACAGCCAAGGCACGGAGACCTATTTCACACCACACTCTCTGCAGAGAAGCCGTGTGACGGCCTCTGAGCAGGCCTGCCGTGACAGTCCTTCACTGAGCTGAGATGTAGGCTGGGGTG